TAAAGTTTGCTAAACTAATTTATAAGATTTTCAAGGGGACCATAGTGATCAATGTTGAGACTTGAGAGACATATGTAAATAAATCTCATTTTTGGTATTTTAAAATCTTCAGACTCTAAAATGAATTACGAACACAAGATGGAAAATCAAGAAAAAAGAGTTAAATTTTAACTTAATTACTCTCGAATAACTTAACTTTAAAGTGAGATAATCATATAAAACGACATAATGTCAAAGAACGTAAAAAGTTACGAGTTTAAATCTATTAGTGTCGTTGAAGAGAAAACAAACTAGTATTAGTATTATAATGCCTTTTAATCTTAAACAAATGGGCGTTGACATATTTTACATAAATATCTTTATGATTTGTCTGTATCGATTTGCGATCGATAATGTAAGCAAGCTCATACAATGAATGTTGCCATCCAAGAGAAACACTATTTTTATATTTGGTCCAAAATATTTAATAATTTAAATGTTTAAATGAAATAATGCACATAAAATAGTTAGAAAATATAAAAGAAGTTTTAACTAACATACAAGGAGATGATACAAATTAGTAATTGTAATGCAAAAGTTAATGCTCTTTGCCTCATATAATCATTGAAGCATATGGCTAATAATGATGAGCAAACCAAATATGGAAATTCTTTTGATGATTTTTGCCATAATGAATGAAATTCTTTTGATGAATTTTAAAGTGTTTTCTTAAAAAACTTTATTTGATAATAATTACTTAATTAATAAATTTGAATAATTTAAACGATTAAGATGTAATATATATTCAAAAAATTCTATTGAGATAACTATCGATCATTTTTCGGTCCATTATTATCACTTATTATCACTATCACTCTATACCAAAAATAATCTTTAGTGGTAACTAATTAATGATAATAGTTTAAGTTATTAAATATACAGTTTTAGCGGTAATTATCACTTTTGGTAAATGTCTCTAAAGACTATATCAAAATGAAATTTAATGACGATTAACTAATGTCGGTAAAAACTTACCATTCTTCATTAATGTAATTATTTATTATCACTAAAAGTTACTTTTACTATAGTGTCACCTCAACTAGCACCATCATCGATGTCATCATTTATCACTTTCAATTAACACCATTCACAATCACAATCACTATCATCTTCAATCACCATAATTAGTCGTCACCATTACTAGGTATTGTATACAATTATTACCATCGATCACAACTACCACAATAGCTATATCAATCAAATAATCACACTATTAATCATTACTATCATTAATTATCACTATTATCGACCAACGCCAATTACACTACTATTAATTATCATCACCATTAATCAGTATATACTTTTTATAAAAAATATTTAATATAGTATTAACTCGATTATTATTATAAATATTTAACTACTAACATGCATCAATATGAACCATGTGAATAAATTTTTTTTACATGAATTCAACAAAGGCAAAAAGACAGACTGCAGTATGCCTGCATTAGATGTGTTTCATCATTTCATTGACCATTCTAATCATTTTCCTTTTCCATAATATATTGTTTTTTCTTTACTTCTTGAGAAGAAAGTCATGTGCAGGAAATACCTCTCTTCTCTCATATAATATTTAATAAATATATATATAATTTATTTATTTTAAAAAAAAAACAGTTTTACCAAATGTAGAATAGGCTAATTAAATAAGCTACATTTTTTTTGAAATTGGACATAATACTTGTTAACCCATCTATTTTAGTCTCAAATAGGACACAAATTATATATGTTATCATACAGATCTCAATCTAACAACGTTGTCCAGATTGTTATCATCACAATTCAAACACACCTCCTACGCTCATGCACTTTTCTTGATATGATATAGCTAATATGAGAAACAATTCTAATTCAAATCGATCGATAGACTTGAATCCTATTCTTAACTGATATAATAAATTCAATCAGACACTCGCCATCTATTAATATTATATATGCAAATCTTTATTCAATCAAAATTCCTTTTTTTTTCTTTGGTCAATACCTAAATTCCATTATATATTGTTAGTGGACAAAGCTAAGCTAAGGGAACAAAAAGGAATTAATGTGTGGCTGGTAGAAATGCAACATCAATTTACTTTTAGCCATATATACATCTTTATCTATTACACCTAATGTTAATGTACTATATAATATAGACAACATAAATTAATTCAATATATTATCTTGATACCTAGCAACTAGACCAAATATCCTAATGAATGTTAATTTTTTTTAACTTTAATTGGTGTTTTTTTCTCATGTAATTAATTACATATATAACAAAATATATATATCATTGACTAACGAGTAATTTATGAACAAAAAATCTTAATGATACCAATACAATATATATATATATACTGATTTAATATCAATTAAGCGAAATTATCAGCATTAATATCTCAAAAGAAACATAAAAGAAACAAAAAAAGATATATAACATTGGTCAAATCTCAAAGGTGAAACATCCTTTTCATTATTAAGCTAACAGTACTTGTTGCCCTCTTTTTTGTCTTAAAAGTTGTCAAGCTAACTAATCAACACTATTCTGTTATTCAAATCATCTTTTTAGAAATAAAAATCATTTGGTATCAAATATATATCTTGAGGTCTTAAATATGAAATCACGTTGTGTAGGGTAAATTATATATATAAAAAAAAAGCGCTCTATCAAGATTCTCTAAATACTTGAAGATGAACCCCATTGTGTCCAACAGATAACCCTTCACTGGAATATTGCACTGTGTAGAACTCTATATGTTGAATTTTCTTGATAGATTTTTTTTAATATATATTTTATTTCTTAGTGAAAATTCTGACTCTACGACTATTGAGTGAATCTTGTTATTATTACACTATTAACTTAAGATTAGTGTAGGAATTCATAAATTTTAATTTTGAATCTGCAGTTGATAAAAACTACCTATGGAAAGGGCATATTATCACACTCTTTAGGGTTTGATCCTTCTCTGGACTTGCGTGAACACGAAATACTTTACGCACCAAATGATTTTTTTTTGGTCTTTGCTATGTTAATTAACCCCACAACTCACTGAAAAAGTACTGTTAATTAGGAAAACAAAAAGAATGTAAGTAAGTAGAAGCTTGGAATAAAATTTAAAAGCCAATAAATAAACAGTACTACTAATTAATGATTTTATTATTTTTAAAGAATTTATATTTATATGCATGCTGGTCCTGTACATACACTGTAGTGTCATTACGTATATATATAAATATAAAAATTTATATACTTTTTATTACTACAAGTGAGAGTCAGTATATTAATTCCACTGTTGTAAGTTTGAGTAGCAAAAGGTCAAAAAAGCAGAATCCAAAGCACTGTTCTAACCTAATCTAAACCCTGCTGTTATAAAGCAAACTAACCCTACTTTTGAATAAGACACGAGCTCGTCTGGTAGAATGTATAAAAATAGTATTGAATATAATATAGTATTGAATATAACGTATACATTAATTAGCTAGTATTAGTATTGTTCTAATACACAGTATTGAAACCAGAATTTTTGCTAAGGAGATTCAAAATATGAATAGGTGAACATACAAATTAGTCGAAGGGGATTCCGTATTTACTATATATGTATAAAAAATATTTTTAATCATGTATAAATAATAAAATTTTCTATTGAAGGAGGTTTAAATGAATATTCCTTTAAAACTAACCTAGCTCCTCCACTATTTATACACCTTGTTAAACAACCATTACAAAAGTGTTCACCATCTAGATGAATAAGATGTTGAACTCTTAATTAGCGATTTTGGGTTTAAGCTTGACAATGAAGAAAAGTTTGTTATGGAGCAAATGTGGAACGAATTTATATTAGTGGGCCAACCGAAATGGTCCAGATATTGGATGAGAAACCAAAAAAAGAAAACCTTATATATGCATTCGCCACCGATAGTTGCCCCTTTAACGAGCCTTGTGAATTTGTATTAATCGAAGTTCAAAAACAGACATTGAATACTGGGTGAAAAATAAAAAATATCTTATATATGTACCCATAGTATATACATATTGTTATTCTTTCAAATTACTAATCCCACTCTCATAAATTACTTCCATTCAAATTTTAACAAAGATAAAATATTAGGTGATTTTTTCTCAATTGTGTAATCTTAACAGACAGAGTTATCCATTACTTCTTGCTAGTGGCGAAGCCAGGATTTTCGTCAAGGGTGTTCATATTTTAGGACAAGTAAAAAAATAAACCTTGCTAGTCAAATTATAAGATTGACTTCAAATATTAAATAAACAAAATGTTCAAGCCTGGGATCGAGCCCAGGCTGAATTTTGCCTTTTTCTAAGAGAACAAACGGAATAATGAAAAAAATTAAAGAAAACGCCAACACTTGGGTTTGAACCCGAAATGATGAGGCATCTTTGCATTGCCTTAACTGTTGGGCTGTCAACCTTTATTGTGTCAAGGTTGTTCAACAATTAGTATATATCCAAATCACTCGATATTTAGTATATATACTCGTAAAAAAATTTCGACGAAGGTTGTTCATCTGACCACCCTCACCATGTCATAGCTCCGCCCCTGCTTCTTGCATATAGGAGAGATAAGTATATCGTAAAACACCAACATGGGTTGTGGTGCACTAGTGAGAGTGTTTCACCCTTAACCAGAGGTCTCATATTCAAGCCCTGGGTATGGAGAAAATCTTGTTGGGAGCGCCACCCCCGAAAAAAAGTATATCGTAAAACTAATCAAGATACGCGCAAACTGACTCAAACACCGCGATTATAAAAAAAAATAAAAATTTAAACTATAGTAGTGATTTTGTATTCTCGTGACCTTTCCACTCTTATTTGTCCTTTCTTCACTTTGATCAAATTTGTCCCAAAAACACCCTTCACCTTACACTATTTTTTCCTGTATATCAAACAAAATATCTTTATAATCTTTTTATAATATTACTCCAATATTTTTATAAAGAAAAAAGTTTCTAAAAAAAATGGGTCCATTTTTTCCAGTACTACTCCTTTTTCATACTCAAATGCAAAGCTTTTTTCTCTAAAGAACACGATTCAAATCTAACTCCTCCGCTCCCCCCTCGAAATTTCTGAATATATATAGAGTTTGAACCAAAATTACTGGATTTCAAATGAGTGACGACTCATAAGATTTGATTTGTTGAAATGGAAGATCAATATGGAATGGCAGATCTAAGACAATACATGAACGGTGGGCGTTCGATTTTCGGTTCGATCCAACAAGTACCACCAGAGTTGTTACCTGCTACTTCTCACCAGCAACAACAACAACACAGGAATCTCGGGCCGGGCCATCACCAGTATGAGATGGTGATGGGACTGGCCCAAGTTCCTTCGTCTTCATCTGGTCACGGGCTTACTACTCCACATCACCACCACCACCAACATGAGTTCCTTACGGACTTGAGTACTCCTGTAGCTGTAGCTGCTACAGCTACAGCTACAGGAACTGCTACTACGAGTGCCGGATTTAGTGGAATGGATCAGATGGAGACTGGTGGTGGTGGTGGTGGAGACGGAAGCGGACGGTGGCCGAGACAAGAGACACTTACACTACTTGAAATCAGATCAAGATTGGATTCAAAGTTCAAAGAAGCTAATCAAAAAGGACCCTTATGGGATGAAGTTTCAAGGTACCATAAAATAAAAATATACACACAAAACCTAATATTCTTATTATTATTATTATTATTATTATTATTGTGTGTGTTTTTTATTCACTTGTTATTGTAAAATAATTTCCAAAAAATTGTTATTTTTGAGTTATTACCCTTTTTTTTTCTTTTGATGAGGAGAATTTTGGGCTATGTTGTTCCTACTCTTCAAAAACATATATCAACAGTTACATGTTGGATCCTCCAGAAATAGTACATTTTCTGGACGATCCAACACGGGTGGTGCGACAATATTTTTGAAGAGTCGGAGCAACATAGATTTTTGGAAAATCTATACATAATTTTGTGTACACTGTTGAAAAGAAAAAGGAAACAATCAGTTTTCTGGAGAAAAAACAGCACTTTTAAGCAAAAACTCACACAGTGAATAAGTTGCCAATTTTGTGTTAGAAAATGACACTACATTGAAGTACAGTTAGAGAATTAGGAGTTTTTCTCATCTTTATTAATACATCACATACCCTTTTTTTTACTTCTTTTTACCTAGATCAAAATTCCTTTTTGCTTGTTTTTTTAGCAAAGATAAAAAATAAAAATTTGTAATTAACTATATATATTCCAAATAGGGGTTTTGTATAGTCTCTATCTCTAGGAAATATCAATATATCATCACGTGACACATTGAATCATTTGGGGATTCAAAATTAGGGTTATGTCATGAAATATGAAAAAATCTTTCTGTCGGTCCATAATTTGTTGAATTATTGTTATTACCTTCCTTCCAAAGTAATCGTAAATTTGTGCACTATATACAATTCGAGATGAGAATTTTCAAAAAATTAAACTTATTTTCTTCCGAGAAATAGTTTCAGAATTAAATTAAGGATCCCCTTAACATGATTTTGTTACAATGACTCAATTCCAAATAAGTTGTAATTGTAGTTTATAGATTAAGCCATTCCTTATTCTTTGATGTCAGAAGTCATTTTGATATAAGATTTTATTTTCTTTCGTCTTAAAATCCCTATATATCTTACTAATTAGATCATGTCGCTCCATTTAAACTTTTGATCAACCTTAGCTTTCTTTAATCTACATCTTTTTACTACTAAGAAATTTCACATTAACTAATTATTATAGGATTATGTCTGAGGAACATGGATACCAAAGGACTGGAAAGAAATGTAGAGAGAAATTTGAGAACTTGTACAAGTACTACAAGAAAACTAAAGAGGGTAAAGCTGGAAGACAAGATGGAAAACACTATCGATTTTTTCGACAACTTGAAGCTTTATATGGTGAAACAAGCAATAATATTTCAACGGAAGTTCTTCATCAGGGAAGTCATTTTCCTTATAATTCCGTTAATAACAACATGAATCAAGATCCTCATAATTATCATGACCACGTCCATCAAGCTCCTAAGATATCCGATAGCATGAGTCTATCTAATTCATGTGAATTCAATACGACTTCCTCAGATGATAGTGATCAAGAGAAGAAGAAGAAGAGGAGGGGGAAGAGGAGTTTAAAGGCGAAGATAAAAGATTTCATTGATGGACAAATGAGGAAGTTGATGGAGAAACAAGAAGAATGGTTGGAGAAAATGATGAAAATGATTGAACATAAAGAACAAGAAAGGATATTGAGAGAAGAAGAATGGAGGAATCAAGAAACGATTCGTATGGAAAGGGAACATAAATTTTGGGCTAATGAGAGGGCATGGATAGAAACACGTGATGCTGCTTTGATGGAGGCTGTGAACAAGCTAAGTGGTAAAGATTTAAAGAGTAATCTTGATGAAGAAATGGTTGACCAACACTGGCCTGATGGTGAAATAACTAGGTTAATACAACTTAGGACTAGCATGGAATCAAGATTTCAACAATTGGGAATTTCATCATCAATAGATGATCATGATCATGATCATGTATTATGGGAAGAGATTAGTGCAAAAATGGCAATTTTGGGATATGAAAAAAGTGCTACAATGTGCAAGAAAAGATGGGGTAGCATCAATAGTTACCTAATGAAGTGCAACAAGAAAAGAAAAGAACAAAATTCAACAAGTTTGTTATGTTACAATAGTAATGTACAAATCAACAATCAATATTATGAAGCTGATGGATCATCATGTTTTAGGTACTTAATGGGAGATCATCATCAAAACTTATGGGAAAATTATGAATTCAAATTAAGCAAAGGTGGTGATGGTGGTGGTGGAAATAATTGAAGATGTGTCGTCACAACAAGACAATTTGTAAGTTTTTTTTTTTTTTTTTTACTTAAAAAAAAAATAAAGATTGATTGACATGAAGTTATTTGTCTTGGGTTGCTAACTGTTTTTGTGGAACATATTATTGATTTGAAGTTAACTTGTCCTAGCTAGGAAGTTGATCAATTTGGCTACCTAATTTTACTATTTTTATGAGATGTTCTATTTATACTTTGTATTCAAATTAAGTAATTAATGTGGTACTTGTTCTCTTCAATTTGCTAATTTTCTTGGTGTTTGATTATTTTTGCAATACAATGTTTATCCTTTCTTAATTCGGAGGTGTTTCATTTGTGGAATTTGAAATTTTAGAAGTTGAGTAATCGCCAATGGATTATTGATCCATTATTCGATAGGGTGTCAGAGATGGGAAATAGTTAGAGTGTTGGATGGTAACAAAGTTTTTATTTGAAAAATGTTTGATATAAAATATTTTTCGTCATATCGAGCATGTCCTAAGTAAGCCTTTTTCAGAATAACGCTTTGCTTTTTATAATTAGGGAGATATGTCAAAACCAGTATGAACCATTAGCTCTTGGTTGGGCCACACATAATCTTTCTTTTCAATTATGATCGTTTTTAATATTTAAAAGTCGATATAATATTAAATTCGAAAGACATGATTTTCGATGTGCATTAAAAAAGGGTTAAGTTTGTCTCATAAAACCATGTGAATTTGGGCTGTTTTCAACTAAGATTTCACATCAAATATTTAAAACACATTTTAGGATATTGTAGCAAATGATTTCGTTTTTTGTCAAAAAAAAAAAAAAAAACTATTTTAGCAATTAAAAAGATATTCTTTAATTAACTTTTCATTCATGATAAAGATGATGTGATTATATTCCACTCAAGTGATTTTACTGTACTTTTCTTGTTTTGTCTAACACTAATTGACGCGAATAGTAAAATAACAGCTCTATGAATAAAAATATTAAATTAGTTTTATAACATTTTATATTCCTCAAATAAGCACTATGTGAGTAATCTATTATAAATTTTGTACTTGAGAATTTTAGAGATTAATAATAATGTAGATACATAGAATATGGACACCATCCTACAAATTAAATGTTACATTGTGGTTCTTGAAGTATATCACAGCCTTAAACACTATGTGTAGGAATAATTCCAAATTATATCTTAAACATGAAGGACCTTAATTTCTTTTAAGTAAATTGAAATCATCACTGTTGAATGACAATATTTCATTAGTAAAATGAAAATTTTGGCAAACTATTCATCCACATTCATAATGTGAACTACTGTTTAACTCAGTGGGTTTGTCATACTTTCTTATCTTGTCTGCCACTAATTAATAAAACGTGATATTATAAGGTTAAGTTAAGCATCTTTATCTTAAAATAAGCTTTTTCCCCCCTCAAAATTGCATCTTAGGATTTACACACTTTTTATGATAACCCTCCACCAACCCCCACCCCCACCCCAACAACTTCTTAGGTCTATTACACTCTTTATACTAGTAACTTTAGCACAATGTATATATGATGTTAAATTAGCACTATATATTATAAACATATCTAAGATTTTATCTCTCAAATAATGCAATAATATATGCAATAACAAGAATCATTAAAAGTTTAATTCTCAAAATATGCAGAAAAATTGAGACTTTCGTGCATTTTTAATTAATAAGTTCTCTGAACTTGTCTTGATTATATAGCTGCAACCACTGGCCAAAAACCATAAATTGGGAATAAATAAGACTTGATTTTTATTTTTTTCTATCAATATGCTAAATCCCAGAGCCAATTGTTATATATTTGGATCAACCAAAGGGAAGAAAAAATTGTTATGTAGGAGGAAGATTAGTTATGTTACTTCATTTGAAGTTCTAGCTTTTGTAATTTATTTCTTGTTTTTATGTCCAATTCGAAGCGAATCATTTAAACTCCGCTTGCATGAACTTGATTAGATTATCAATTTCGAGTCTAGATTTTTTTTTTAAAAAGACCTAATAGTTTGTGGGTGTAGTGACAAATTCTGAGAGATCAATTGTCAAAATCCTTAAACTTTAAATTTTAAATCCGCCTATATTTTAAGTTGTGAATTAAATTTATTATGGATGTTAAATATGCTTATTTATAGGTGATCTAATAGGGGAAAAAAATTCTTACAATCGTCAATAAATAAAAGTTAAACTCACTAGATAAATGACATGATATTTATTATATTTATGTATATATAATAAACGTTGAATTTACTTGTTTGATGTGTTTATTTCTTTTTATTTTGAATCCCTTTAGTGATAATTTTAATTTTTCGTTATTGTCTGATAGTGAAAAATTATTTTACACTATGGTATGTTATGTGTTCTATTATAATGTTAAGAGTAATGAAACACTTGAAATAGCAAAGGTGATATATTTATTTTTTCAGAAGTATTTTCTAAATATTTCCTGTTTCATGTATTGTGTCATTATCTTTCAGTCCTCTCCATTTTTGTTATTTCCAAAACTTAGATAATTTACTCATTCTCTACTTTTTTTTCCTATTTCGTATTCGATATTTAATTAAATTCTAATTAAACTACAATTCATGAGGGAAAATCTCATAAAGTTTTTTATTGAGTTTTTTGATAAAGACGACTTTATACTCGAGACTTCTTAGATAATGTATTCATACTCCCAAGGCTGCCTAAATAATCTCTTAGCTAGATAATCTACGTACTCAATTTTATTTTATTTTGTTTTTTGGTTTTCCATTTCAACATCAATATACTCAGTGATTTTTATCTCTAGCTTATGTAGATATAGATGTTACTTTCGATAAACAATCAATTTAAGTAAAACATATCAAAACAAACAAGAAAAAGAAGTACAGTAATATAAAAGTCATGATAAAACTCTTGGAACTCAAATTATAACGATTTGATTAAATTTGATTCACTCTAAAAAGTCTTTTATTGAGGTTAAAGAAAACTCTCTAACAAAGATAATGTCATACATTAGATACACACCTAAAATTTTAATTAAAAATGAAAAATAACTTACTATTCTATTGTAACCTTTTTTTTTCAGATTTTTTGATAAAAGAAAAAAATTCTTAATTTTTTTTAAAAAAAAATCTTGTGATGTATGATGAGGCAATTTGATATGACTAGTAACTGAGATCACAAAGCTATGTACTTGTCTAGTTTTCACTTCAAATAACCTAATTTAGAAAATCTGATCATGTATTTTGCTTAAAGTATGTTCTCTTTATAACTATGAATGGTAAATACAATTTTTTCAGACTTTATTATATGACTTTTCAGAGATTGTTGGAAAAATAAATATTAATATTATTAGCATATTATATATGCTTCAATAAATGTACCGTTCAACAACAAGTAACACAGGTTGATGACGTTTTATGACATAAAAGCTTTTTAGGTAATTTTCAGAAATTATCAAATGACAACTTAATAATTAGTTGACCAACCCTTCCAACAACTACAACGTATCAATGTAATTTCACAAGCAAAATATCGAGAGAAATAGAGTGTACGTAAATTTTATTTTTAATTCGTTAAGATAGATAGATTCTCAGTTTAAGTTCAATAGTTAGGAACGAATGAATACAATAATAAAGAAAATATGACAATTATTATAGAAAAAGATCAATAATATCAACGTCATTTGGTTAAATATCAAAAGATAAGAAATTACATGAATAAAGCTAATACCATGATGTATAGTAGAAAATTAGTATGTAATTGAGTATTATTTCACTTTTCAATAGAATGAGCTTGATGGTTATCTGGAGCGCTAAGATCATGTTCTCTATAAAAAAACAAAAAAACTTACCAACTCTTCAGAACTTATATTACGCAGCATGGTTGGTACAATGGAAGTTAATAATTTTCATTTATATACATTAAATATTAATATTAGTTATACTAGCAAATCAAAAAATGCTTTGATGGGATTTAGAGTAAGAAAGATTAATGTTATTGATAAGTATTAGTTGGAGAAAGTATATATTATGATTAAAAGTTAAGATTATTCTAAGGAAATTGAATTTCGCTCGCAAAATAATTTTATTAATAATACACTTAAATATGTTTTATCATTGTCTTGAATCTTGATATAAGAAAAGTTGTAACTAAAGTATTTTATTTGTACTTTTGAATCTCGTGTAAGAGTTTCGGAAGGCCGAAAGAAAACAAAAAATGATTGAGAGAATAAAGTGTGGCATCCATTCTTTTCGTTTATAAGATGTCATGCCAGCCGAAAATTTTGATAGGATGCTCTACTGTAATGAAGACTCTATTATGAGAATTAATCTCTTACTCGAATCTATGGAAGAGAAACGTTTTACTCTCTTAATCTTTAGGTTATAGTGAATATTATGTAAATATAGAATAATTAGTCTATTATGATGCCTCAGACAAGATAAGATGAATAGAAATATTGAAAGGACACAAAGCTCAGTTAAAATATAAGGGAAGATCTTGATCACCTAGGTCATCAATCTTCTTTTTTAATCATATATGTTTTAGTTACAAAAAAATATTTTTTCAAACTTTAGCTCTGAAAATAGACACATTTGATTATAAATTAGTGAAACAACAAATTTGAAACAGATTAAGTAATTAAAAACTCAATTTCTCTATAGATATTGCGGGTCTTAAATCATTCGATCATCTAATTTGCAAAAAATATATAAAGTGTATAGATAGTATATAAGTTATACTAATTATATATTTCTATACATACAATATAAGTGTAAATACTATGTATATTTCGAACATGTTGATAAACTAATGACTGAACAATATATATTGCTGAAGTTATTGTAAATTAGAACTTCACATGGCTTTGGGCTTTACTCATTCTTCCTCTTGAAAAGGCTTTTGGGCCTTTGTTAAGGAATAGCATTGAGAAATACCAACATAATAGGAAAATAATTTTTATTTTTATTTCCAAAAATAGGTATTAACAGGAAAAAAAAAA